TATTCATATCAAAATATGTTTTATATATATATATATGAGTGCGCGAACTACAATAACCAAATAGTGAGGGGGCAAAACGACAATCTGAAGACTGCAAATTTGAAAGAAATTTCAATGTAAATTGACGTCTACGAGTGATGAGGAAGTTAGGAGGAAGCTCCGTGTTTCCTCGCGAACTTTTTGATCTTTTATCCGCCACCAAACCTTCCTGTCTCAGCCCATTGGAGCTAACCCTCGCTGAATTCCTCCCTCAGGTAATCTATTATCCTCCCCAATGCTTTTGATTCAACTTTTTTCTTCTCTAGTTTTTTAATCAATTTTAAATTTTCGATTAGATTGGGTGACCCGTATCGACGCATCTGCTATTCAATCCGTTCTTATCCAAATAGGTTTTGCCTTGATTTTTTGGTTCTCTTTTCTCGAAGTTCGGATGGATTTATATGGTGAACTTCGATCTTGAGGGTTTTTTTCACTGTTTCCTCGCCGGATGAGAATCGTATGTTTCTCCTTTCCTTCCATTTGGATATTACTTTTTTCGGCCGGTTTCTTGGTGGCTAATGGAGTGGATATACTTTTCTTAGTTTTATGGGTTAGAAATTTGAATGCTTTCCTTTGTTGCTTTTTCTTAACTCTTTCGGCGATTTTCTTTTTCTTTTTTCCTAGTTTGTGAAGTAAGCTGTCGATTTTATATATCATGGTCTTTGTTATACGGCTGATCCGAGTTTTTCTTGGGACTTGACCTTTTATGATTGATTCGTGCTATTTTTTGCACTTCTTAGCTGCTGAAGCTATTGATCAAGAGGTGAAGAGGAGGATCCTAAGATGGATGATGCTATTTTTGCTAGATATTGGTGTCATATGTGTTCGCAAATAGTGAACCCAGTTATGGTGGTGGAGCTCAAATGCCCCTTCTGTGATAGTGGGTTTGTGGAAGAAATGGGTGGAAGGGAAGTACCTGGAACTGAAGCCATCGGATCTTCGAGAGCCCTTTCTCCTTGGGCTTCTATCTTGCTAGAGTTGATGGCTAATCCTTCTCACCATCAGCATGACCAGAGGAACTCGATCAGGGATGGTTATGATGACTCTGATCTGGAGCGTGAGCTGGAACCCGACATGTCGAGGACGCTTAGGGAGTTGGAGGAGGATAGCATGAGGATTAGGAGGGAGGAAGAGGAGGATGAGTCGGATATCGATCGTGAATTGCAGTGGATTGTGCGGAGGAGGAGGCGTAGCACAGCCATACGTCAACTGCTTCAGAGCCTTCGTGAAGATTTTAGGTCAGAATCTGATGACATTGAGAGGCATAATGAAATAGAATCGGACTGGGAAAGTGAGAACGTGGTCCTGATTAATTCTTTCAATCAGGCGATCGTTCTTCAAGGATCCTTCGATTCTGATCAGTTCCAGAGCCAGGGTTCTGATAACACTGCTTTGGGTGCCTCCATTGGAGATTACTTCATTGGATCACGACTGGATTTGCTTTTGCAGCATTTGGCAGAGGATGATCTAAACAGATACGGTACACCACCAGCCAAGAAAGAGGCTGTGAATGGGATGCCTATTGTGAAAATTGTGGAGAAGATAAACTGTCCAGTCTGTTTAGATGAATTTGAAATTGGAACTGAAGCTAGAGAAACGCCATGTAAACATAAGTTCCATAATGAATGCATTTTACCATGGTTTGAGCTCCATAGTTCCTGCCCTGTGTGCAGATTTCAGTTGCCTGCAGATGAAACAAAGCCTTCCAGTGGGTCAGCTGATGGCAGTAGGACAGAGGTATTTGTCAGGGGTGGTGGTGTTAGAGGTAGAAGGAATAGATCCAGGTCTTCTGCCTCATGGCCTTTCGGCGGCTTGTTCTCATTTTCAGGTTCGCAGAGCGATGTAAATTCTTCTCCATCCCCAACAACTTCATCATCTACGTCTGATCACAACAATCCTGCAGATGAAAATTAAAATGCGCTTCCTTTAATTCCATTTCTTGCTTACTTTTGCTGTAGTCCACTTGATATATGGGATTATGAATGTGAAGTGATTCAATATTTCTATAATTGCTGCCTGGCTTGTATTTGGAGGGATATGTTTGGCTGAGATGAATTTAGCTTTCTCATGCCCTTGCAGTTTCCTTCAATAATAGTTGGCTGGTGTTGAGAAATTAAGGCTATGTTTGGGACGGCTTTCTTATTGCTTCTTAAAGTAATTTTCTAGTATAACAAGTTTTAATTTTGTATCAGAAAATAGCTTTAAGAAGCAGTAAGAAAGCCGTCCCAAACGAAGCCTAAGTTGTTGGGGTGGCGACCATTACATGGTTTGTGAATCTAGCTTTCCTCCCTATTGCTTTCGAAAGCTGGTTGCGGGGGCTTTTGTGTGTTTTTGTATATATTGCTTCAGACAGGAATTTCTTGTTATCATAAGTTAATGTGTTTTATACTGCATTGCTTTCTTGGCGGATACTATCTGAATGAAAACATGAATTTCATCTTGGGATCAATATTGGAGTCGCACTGTTCACCCGTCATTTGCTTTGTTTTGTTTTGTTTTTTTATTCGGAAATTATATAAAATGAAGTATGGGAAATAATATATTAGGATTTTTTTTTGTGTTTGAAAATGGAGTTCGATTGGAGACAAGTTATTGCATTTTGATGTATTATTTTATTTTGGAGTGAAAATTAAATTTTTCGGTGGAGATGCCCTTGTGAATATTGAAGTTATTCAAATTCCTTTAGCTTCTCTATTAAAATTAGTGCCGAGCATTAATTTTTCCCTGGCTCTAAACGCTTTCAAAGCTGCATTTTTCTAACCTAAATTATCCTAAACTCCTCAGTTTTGGACAGTTTCCTGCACTTCCTTCTCTGACCAGACACAGAAAGCTCAAGCCTCAAAGGGAGATTTTATTATCTCCATTTGAAACCTCTTCACACGCCATAACTGTTTATGAAGACTTAAAGTATATATATTTCAACATATTTATTATTATCAACAAATCTCATTACGGAAATCCTATCAAGCAATGTGATGCCATTTGCTAACCTTGACTTTCTCCCCTAGTTTTGAATAAGAATTTATGAACATCCAAAAGCTATTTTGTGGCTTTGCTTGTGAAATTCAAAAGCTGGAAAGATACCTTCATCAATAAAATATTTTTAAAAATAAATTAGTCTAGTTATTTCATGAAGTAACACATTCATTTTCCTGAATAGAGAGTGCATTATATTATTCATGAAATAGTTATATTATCAAAAATTTAATATAAAATCTGATCTATTTGATCTATGAAAAAAAATGCCATGATTGCTTCATTTTACCTTGGTTTTCAAATAGATGAAGCAGTTGTGAATGAGGAGAATAAAGGTGGGCTCATTTTGAAAATAGATAAATTTTGAAAGAAATTTATGATAGAATATCATAATATTTTTATCAGATAGATCTATTTTTATGACACTTCATAATTATATGAATTAAATGTTATCCTCTTAAATATTAGATATTAACAGTTTAGTATCAGACAATACAATTAAACTATGAGATATTATGAAGTGTAATTTTGATATAAATTTCTTTACAAATATCTAATCAATCAGTTATATGTGTTTAATAGGTTAATTATATTATCTAATAATTTAGTTGTTATAACCATTTGACAATGCGTTATCTAACGAGATTGTCGACTTCTCTGATTCTCTGTCACTAATTCTCCAATCTCTCTCTTTTGTTTGGAATAATTTTTTTATTATTTTTAAAACAGTTTTATAGAAAAAATTAAAATTTTTATAAAAAAGTTATTTAAGAAGCAATAAAAAAATCGTACCAAATGAAGCCATAAAAAAGCAGCACCAAACGAAGCCGTTTGGGATGGCTTTCTTATTTTTTGAAGCAGCTTTTTAATATAAAAAAATTAATTTTTAAAAAAAAAAAAAAAAAGAGACATATTTTTGGTGCACATTTTCGTCGTCGCTGTCGCCTCGACTCTATCATCGCCCACTAAGGTATATCGTCTCCAAACACATTTTCAAATCTGCTTTCGGTGCTCGCGATGCACCGGAAAATCACATATGTACATTTTTCTTAGCATGGTGGGAGGGAACCGGTGCGACGCTTGCGACAAGACATATTCCAGAGTAATGGTAAACAATACTGAAAGATGAGTCATAAATCATAAAATATTTATTACAATAGAAATCTTACAAAATAAGAGGAACTTAAGCAGTTCTATAGATTCTCTTTAAAAATGATATTACTTTTGAAAGGTAAGTAAAAGCCTAAAGTTCAAAGTGTAATCATATCTACAAAACTCATTTAATTGCCTGATAACTTGAAGAATTGTAGGTAGAAATAGAATAAAATGAGAAGCTAAATAAAAGGGTTGCTATGTCTCCTATCAAAATTGCTGTAGAAAGTTCTCCAATTATCAGTTCACAGTAAGAAGCTTAATCACTGATGCAGCTCCAAGCCGAAACAATACAACAATTGAATCTCCAGACACGCAGAGACCTGTCGCCTTAGCATGTGCAATGGCAAGTTCAACAGCTTCATCAGTGGCCTCAGAAGTTGAAGCTTTCGCTGTTGCTGTGCTCAGCATTGGTATCAATCCTCTGTAAATAAGACTGTGCATTGCAGGAGCCTCATCGCTGCAGGACCAATCGAAGATATTGGTCTTCAATTCAGGAACCACAACTGAAAGGATGGGCATTGCAGGCCGGTATTTGGCGACCAACTTTGCAGTGCTTCCTCCTCGGGTGAGAACTATAATAAGAGATGCTTTTGCAGAGTTGGCAGTTCGCACTGCCGATGAAGCAAGACTCTCTATTGGGCTCATAGGAATTGGAGCTCCTGCCATGATCAATTTGAAAACAGCTCCATAATCCAAGTAAGATTCAGCTTCCAGGCAAATTTTCGCCATTGTTCGAACAGTTAGTTCCGGGTAAGCTCCGGCCGCTGTCTCTCCGCTAAGCATCACGCAGTCAGTGCCATCGATGACAGCATTCGCTACATCTGTAGCTTCAGCTCGGGTGGGCCGTGGGGACTTGATCATAGATTCCAGCATTTGTGTTGCAGTAACAACTGGCTTTCCTTGCATGTTACACTTGAATATCATCACTTTCTGTGCATAGAAAATCTTCTCTATCGGAATTTCCATACCCAGGTCACCTCGTGCCACCATGAAAGCATCTGTGTTATTTAGAATGTCATCAAAATTTGCTACACCTTCTTGGTTCTCAACCTGCAAGTAATGCAAAATATTATAACAAGAACCATCAAATTTTATTGAGCAGTTATTCTATAACAGACCTTTGACATCAGGATGATTTTGTTCGCATGATCTCCTAGAAGCTCCCTGACCTGAACAAGGTCAGAACCTTTGCGAACAAAGGACAAAGCAATTATGTCAATCTTGTTTGGAACACCCCACTGTAAGATATCCTCCTGGTCTTTCTCTGTTAGCGTTGGAAGATCAACCACGACTCCAGGAAGATTGACATTCTTACGCTCTCCAAGGATGGCTGAGTTCTCACAGCGACAACAAACCAATCCCTCCTTTTCATTACAGGATAGCACAGTGAAGGTGATAGTACCATCAGCACACAAAATGACACCACCTGGCTTCAGGTCCTGAGCTAACTTTTTGTAGCTCACAGATATCATGCTTTCATCGCCTTTAATGCTATAGTCAGTACTAATGGTAATCTCCTGACCCCTCTCAAGACGAATTGGTTTTCCATCTTTCAAAAAGCCAGTTCGAATCTCTGGTCCCTGCAATATCAGGAAACTTCAGTCTATATTTGGATGAAAAGAAGAAAAGCAAATTAAAGAAATTTAGGCATACATCAAGAATATGCTACCATTGCATTGTTATTCTTCGAAGATAAGTCTGAAAAACATTAGAACAAGAAGCTTTGGCATGCATTATCTTGGTATTGGTATTAGTTATGATTTGCAATAATAGAAAGGCTTAATTCTATTAGTAGCAGTAGTGTAGCAAGCATAAATTAGTTTGAATATATTCTTTTGCAGCAAAGGATTCCAAAAGCACACAATCATTGTATAGATGGTTTATGACTTCTGAACGATCTGAACGTCCTGACTGAACCGGATCAAGGATTCAGTGGAACCAGAAGGATGAATGTTGTTACTGCATATCAATGCGAAATTATTAGAAGAGCATAGCTCATCTTCTTTTATAAAGTAAAAGCAGTATTCTTAATCAATATTAATCTGAGTTGTTCTCGTTTGAAAGGTGCTATGTGTCTATGCATGCATGCAAGTTCGGCTTATAAAGATCTTTGAAAATTGTTGTTAACTTTTGCTCCCTTTATTTCATTTAAAGAGAAAGGAATGTGATAGGAAACACTTGTAGATCTCAAGTATTTTCTACCAATCTTCTAAAAACAGCGAGAATTCTTCACAAAAGTTCGCACAAAACCACGAAAACAGTAGATAATTTGTATTATTTGATGAAAGGAAAACAGAAAATAGCAAGATACAATTGATCATCAATTCGAGAGGAGGATCGATGTCTCCCAAATCTCTAGATACCGCTAGAGCCCAAAGAAAAACCTAATTCTAAGAGATCTCAAATTTTAGCCAAATTTAAGATGCCCTAATCCTAGGAAAACAAAGTATTTAATGCATACAAATCAAAAGGAAATCCCTAAACAGTCTCTACATTCAAATTTCCCTCCCAAATACTTCAAAAATCCTTCCTAATTTGCTTTGTTTGATCCGAGCGGGGCGTGCGGCTGAATCGGGAGGGGGAGGCTTCCGCCTCGTCGCGCCTGGGCCGGTCCTACGTGGACCGACTGGACCGGTCTAACATAATGCAGAAGATTTGGTGTTTTATCTATGTGCTCCGCCTCTTTAAGCATTAAGATTAAAACTATGCAAAATCAAAAACTGGAAAGTCAGGACTAATGTCTTATCTCTTATCTATTAAGGGGCAGGTTACATGTATTTTATTAACTATTTTGACAGCTCTTTTTATCCTCTGTGAAATTTTTTATGCTGTCTATAATTTTTTTACGACTATTTTTGCTGGTACACCTACATTTGCCTGCTTCAAACGAGAAATGTGTTAAATCTTGAAAACTGTTTGGTATGCTAAATGTTAAATCCTGTTAAATCCGGAGAAACTGTTTGGTAACATATTTCAGGATTTATAGTAGTTAGACATTTAAATGTGAAGAAGATAATTATAACTTAAAAATAAACATTTTGATCGGAAGCAAGAACGGGAGCTCGCTGGCTGTGAAGGTAACTTTCTCCCTTTCGCGCGCTTCTTCGGATAAATCCCGCTGGGATTTACTAAATCTGACTACCCCTCGGATTTACTAAATCCCGGATTTAAGCTGTAAATCCGTAAATCCGGGATTTACTGAATCCCGGGATTTAACGCGCGCACAAAAACTGTTTGGCTGGATTTAGCCTAAATCCGACTTAAATCCCGCTGTAAATCCGATACCAAACAGCCCCTTAGAGTTTCAGGGAAATGGAGGAAGGGGAATGAAGAGTACCTTGGTGTCGAGCATGACCGCACAGAGGATGCCAGTGTTTTCCATGGCGGTGCGGAGGTTTTGGAGGGTTTCCTGATGGTACGCGTGGGATCCGTGGGAAAAATTGAATCGGGCAACGTTCATTCCCGCACGGAGGAGCTTTTCAAGCATCTCTACGGATCGCGATGCCGGACCCAGAGTGCACACTATCTTCGTCTTCGGCCGCTGCCTCGCCGTCACCGATTCCATCTCTTCCTTTGCAATCCCAGCCATCGTTCCCTCCTTTCTTCTTCTTCTCCTCCTCCTCCTCTCTCTCTCTCTCTCTCTCTCTCCCTCCCTCCCTTCTCTATTGATCGATCTCGATTCTAGAGCAGATTTAGAACAGAAAAATAAAAACGAAACTCAACGGGTGATGGAACCGAAAGAGAGACCGTGAGCTTTAAAATAGACGAATGAACGGAGAAAGCTCCTACTTAATAGGCCAGCGACGCATCGGTCGCCCGCGGGAATAGCTGAACGGATTGTTCCTTGGAATATGCTCGTTATTGTTTCATTTCTCTATGTTTTTTTTTTTTTTTTTTTTTTTTTTTTTTTTTTTTTTGGGAAATTTACATACATATCACTATATTTATAATCATTTACATATCTAATACCTAAAAATTTAATATTACTCTTATACCACCTAAAACTCATTTCATACATCACTTCTACCACTCCGTTACTTCCGCACCTCACGTTGTTACATTCTCTTCTTCCACCGGTGCGGTCGCCGGTTTGCATTACATTCTCGGATGGAGCTTCTGTTTGAACGGCAGAGAAGCAGAGCTTTTAGCTTTTAATCTCCCGTCTCTTTTGGCACTTCCAGAAACTAAAAAGAGAAAGAAAGCGATGATTCTCTATTGGTTTCCGGTAGCAATCGTAGTGTTTCTCGTAATGGTCTTAGGTTCTCTGTTTCTAGTGTTTAAGAAAAGGAGGAGACTTGAAGAGGCTGCAGATGAATGGGAAACCGAGTATACAAAGGCGTTGAGAACCTTCTAGGAAACGGGGGATTTGGTGAAGTATACAAAGGCGTGCTGTCCAAATCAAAGCAAGAGATTGCAGTAAAAAGAATATCCCATGATTCCAGACAGGGAATGAAGGAATTCGTAGCAGAGATTGCAACCATCGGCTGAGACACACGAAGGCAAGGAAAACTCATCCTTGTCTACGATTTCATGCCCAGCGGCAGCCTCGATAATTACCTTTTCAACAGAGTTGAACAATCTCTCGCATGGAAGCAAAGATTTGACATCATCAAAGGCATCGCGGCAGGGATGCTTTATCTACACGAGGAATGGGAACAGGTGGTGCTTCACAGAGGCATTAAAGCGAGCAATGTCCTCCTCAACGCTGATTTCAACGGAAAGCTTGGAGATTTCGGGCTAGCAAGGCTGCACGACCGCGGGAGCACGGAGGATACGACGAGTGTGGTTGGAACGCTGGGTTATCTCGCTCCGGAGCTTTCTAGAACAGAGAAATCGAGTACAAGCTCTGATGTTTTTGCTTTCGGGGCGTTTCTGCTAGAAGTCGCTCGGGGATGCCAGTCTTTCCAGTTGGGATCACAGCGTGAGGTGCGGAAGCAACGGAATGGTAGAAGTAGAAGTGATGTATGAAATGAGTTTTAGGTGGTATATGAGTAATATTAAATTTTTAGGTGTTAGATATGTAAATGATTATAAATATAGTGGTATGTATGTAAATTTCCCTTTTATTTTTTATTTTTTGAAACAATTAAAAGCCTAAACTCAATCATATTGAAAGTTAAAAACTTACATACGAAAAATAGTCCAAATGTAAGAAAGGGAAATGCAGCCGACCCATTGGCTCTTGCTACCAAAGCCATGAGCCAATTATAATTGGGTTTATATATGACAATATTTTTGAGAATTTAATATTTACATACATAACAAAAATTTTTAATCTAACATTTAAATTCTTATATAACAAGTTAATATCTCTATAATATCATTAAAAATTATTTCACATTAAAAAATGAATATTAATAGTAATTTAATATAATTTAAAATTTATTTTAAATATATAAATAAATAAAAATTATAATATATATATATATGTATCTTAATATATGTATAAAAGATATAATTTATTTTAAATAAATTAATAGTAGTGATATTCTTAATATTATTTAGATATCAGAGAATGTAAAATTTTAAATATTAGATATACAAATATATAAAAAATGAATGGTATAGATGTAAATTATCTCCATTATACTTTCAGTTCAAACTACAAAAAAATAAAGTCTTACCAAGATGAAGAAATGAAGGCGGACGACCACAGGATTTGAATTCACATGCATACGGGATAAAAAAAAGCCAGCAATGATTTCAGGACCTTGGATTTGAAGGACTTATTCAAGTCGGAGTAGTGTAGAACAGAAATTTCAAGCAAATTCGAATAATTAAACGCGCAGCCGCAATAAGAGATCGTTAGGAAATGTCAAACAAGAATAAATTTGGCGAGTTCGAACCAAAATTTCTGCCTTCTGGAACGCGACTATACAAGTCAAAAAGGAGGATGGAAGAACATTCTAAATGCATGTACTGCGCCTTCCATAAAAATTTCTTAAAGTGTATTACATTTAGGTTTTGTGTGGGACAATACGTATTCTAATAGACAACAAAGAGCAAACAATATCAGCTAGAATAAAAGAGAATAAGAAAGGATGATTTATACTGGACAATAAAAAATGTCCCAAATCTTCCATCACTGACCCAGAATAAACTTAGACTTTGGCTTCTTTTAAGACGGTTTTTTTATTGCTTCTTAAAAATTAATTTAAGTATAATAATTAAAAAATTTTATTAGAAAATTGATTTAAAAAGCAGTAAAAAACCGTTCCAAATAAAGCATTTATTTGGGACAACTTTTTTATTACTTTTTCAAGCTGTTTCTAATAAAAAATCTGCCCTAAAGTCAACATAATTTTGAGAATCCATATCTAATAGAATACCTGATCAAAAACTAGGTGAAGCAGCAACAATTTTCACAAGCAAGAAGGACAACATATAATCTTAAGAATCCAACAAGCCCAGAGGATTCTCACGAAAAAAATTATGTCAATATATTAATGGCTAATACATAATCAAACAATTCTGCCACCTCATAAATTCAAGATTTGTGTTTGGGATAGTTTTCTTACAGTTTTATAAAATTATTATAGAGAAAGTAACTTTTAAAGATGTAGAAAATATGTTCATCGTGCACAAATTTTTTAAAAACAGAAAAAAGTGGCCAAAAGAAATTACAGTTATGATCTAAAAAAATAACGGTAAGAAGATAGTCCCAAAAGAAGCCTTAAAAATTCTCCATCTGGCAGCTTTTTATCTGACCTGAGATTTGATGCAAAACATTCAATTTTCAGGTTGATTGGGGGTAGGATTATTACGAATCCTTTGGTTCCTCTTATGCCAACTAATAAACCAATACCAACCATTAGAAAATCAAAATTTTGGATCATCAAGTTGGGTGCCGGTGCTATATTATAGCACTTGCGTAAATAGCAGACAAGCCTCAGCCAGAAAGAAATTTCCATCGTGAAGGAGATTCATCACTTGCCACATGCAGTAAAACAGTCTTACAAGGAGCCGATCTCACACAGTGAAATAAAGGTTCAGTGCGAAGCATCTAACTCATGAAACAAAGAAACAATAAGCCTACCAAATGACAAGTTGCAAAGTTTAAGTCTAACTTTAGAGTGACCAAAGAATACATATTTTTATGTATTTTGTCATCAAGGACCTTCTAGATGCTTCTAAATGGACCAAAATAGCTTCCAAAAGGATCCAAGAAATTTCCAAAATACCCAAAGACTATTCCAAGAGATGAGTAGCAATGTCAAACATCCAAATCCCTAAGAATATGGTCGTTCGATGCTTATTGATTCAAAATCAAATGAAGGCGCAAAAAGGAAGAGAGAAGATTAAAGCCCAAAATATGGAACCTCTGTCCTTCTCTCTCTTTAAAAGATGGATTTCCATTCAAATCTCTTATTTTCATGAATTATATGCTACCTCCAAGATTAGTTCCTAAACTCTACCTAGGTTTGATTTTATCATGTATTACATGTTTCTTTTATTAGGCTTCAGTAGCTTATTAAAGGATTGATCTAATTAATTTCATTTCAATGCAAATAATGGAAATCTCTCTTCAATTACCGAGTTTACGCACTCTCCCTCCCTCTTTTCAACTAAGAATCTCCTCTTTCTCTCTCCACTCAACCTCTGTATACCGACTCGAGAATCAAAGGGAGGAAGATAAAAGGTGCAATGAAGGGGAACCAAGGGTAATGTAAGCAGGAAATAAGAGAAATTGCAAGGATGATTCAAGGGCAAGTAGCCATTAAAGTTCTTTGAAGAATGGTATAATCTTTGCCACTCTTTATTTAATAAATAAATATTTGATTAGCTAGGTTCAAAATATTAATTTTACTTTTATTTCACATTGGCCAACCTCTGAACTTAAGATTGTGTAGAAATTGTAATATCAATTAAGAGCTAACTTAGACATTGGTATTTTCTTGATAGACCAATGTTTGTAAACAACAATGATTGCATCCAATCTAATGATTGATCATTAACTCCACAATTGCAGACTTGCCCAAATACAACCCCATTGGTGATCTTATTCATTAAGAAGATTGGGCACCAACTTATCCCAATCTAAGGCTTCGTTTGAGACGGTTTTCTTGTTGCTTCTTAAAACAACTTTCTAGTACAAAAAAATTAATTATTGAACTAGAAAGCTGTTTTTAGAAGCAGCAAAAAAGCCGTCCCAAACGAAGCCTAAATCACTAAAACTAATCATTATTCTATCATATATATATTTAATAACTTTAGGATATCTTTAACACACATTTTCTTCATTCAGGTGTAGTAAATCATTTTTTTGTTGTACTTGATCATATGCCTTAGCAAGACCAATAAAGATCATAAAAATTTTCTTTACTCTCTATTTTTTCCATTAAGTGTCTCGACACAAAAAATTAGTTCTATATTAGACCTTCTGTTGAGGACATCTGTCAGTGATTCAGACATGTGTATTGTCGGAGGAATCGTAGATCGATGGCTACGATTCAGAGTCTGTATTTTTGATGTATATTTTTTTATTCTATGTATTATGTTGCATTTGAGTTTTCTCATTTTATCTCTATGGGGAATTGAGTCTATGTTGTAGCCTGAGTTTTCTTTCATTTAGGCCTATTTATAGGAGGCCTCTTGCATTGTATTGGGATGATGAATTATGAAGAAAATTTTAGCTTTCTTTGATCTCTTAGTGAGTTCTTGAGAAGAAATCCTAGGTGGGTGAAAGCAATATCTGTCAACCTTCGGAGGATTCCAAGGTTTGCGGTTCTACGATCTCTTTATGAGTTATTGATTCTTTTATTTTAGTCTTCAT